ATTTTTGTATGTTAATTAGGTAGTCAGTGAAAAAGTTGACTCAGCAAAAACCGGCAATTGTTGATAATGTAATCCGGGTGTACGTCCCTGGTCATGAGCAGCGGCCCCAACTAAGGGTGGTAATAAGCAAAAACAGTCACCCTTGTCCATACAACGTTCAAACATTTCCATTTCGTATACTGAGGTGCATAGAACGCGTGCACTTTGAAGAAGCGCGTTTCAACGACCCTCAAGGGTATCGATTTGTAACAACCATCCAGGCAATTCCCCCTAATTTTACAGGTGAACTGCACTGGCAATGTTTTCCGTTTTATTGGACTTGTAAATTTTCTCAAACTTTTCTTGCGCGTTTACTGCAAAATGCACTTCTGTTGAAATAGGTACCACAAAAGTGATTTTACATGCGTTCCTTTAAATACCAAAAAAATGCAACACTTTGCTGGTTTCGACAGATAAGAGGTAGCAAATGTTTCGCAATTTTTTTGGAACAGGGCAAAATTTAAAATTAAAGAACCATATTCTGCTTTAAAATTCTGATATGATCCGAGCTCAGCGTCAGTTTTTTTTGTAAATGTAGGTAGGTAGAATGGATGGGATTCGTTGACCAGGCAATTTAGAGAATCCATGTTACACATAATGGTGAAATGAGCGAAGTTCAAAGCCGTGCCGAAAAACTCCCGCAAAAGTAATCGATCGATGTAATGATTGGAATTTTTCGGCAACGATGCCCCGAGGTCAAATCGAGTCCATTGATGATCGAGCCGCGAATTAGCCGAATTCCTGAGGAGACCGGCTGACGAAATTTCCTGACTCGAATAAATCATTCCCGCAGACTTATTTCAGACGGCCCGGCCCACTTCCAAAACGCACGCTGCGTGTATTTTACCTCCTAACGTTGTTGCCGGTAAAATCTCTCAAATATTTACACATTTTTTACTAGCATTTTTATTATCGTACTTTTCTCATACATAAAATCATCCAGCCAGTTTTCAGATAACTTCAACGTTTACACCATAAAACTCTTCCATCCTGCAGCCGAAGAATCACAGCAGTAAAAGACTTCGCTTCAGAGCGGCTCACTTAAAAATTCTAAATGTTTCAAAAACTAAGAACGTTTTCAAGTACATCGAGCCTAAAAACTTGTAATGAAAATATATGAAATTATATTTTGTAATATGACTAGTATTTTTATCATCAGCGAAACACTTTTTCCCAAATCAGGTTGTTTTACAGCAGCTAATTTTGAGGCTGGCTTTCTTAGCGCATTTCCTTCAGTTTTGTTAAGTAAGCAAACTATTCTTATTTTCTATTGGCAGGTTTCTCATATAAAATACTTACAAGATAAGTAAGTAAGTAAGATTCTAATAAAGTGATATGTTTTTTCTGCTTAAATACATCAGAACTGGTTTTAATACCTTTACATCATTATGAACAAAATATTTCTGAAGTTTTGCAAGCACGACTAACTTGCATATTCAGACCCTCAGAAATACGAGAGACAATCGCATTTATTGCAAATCAATTGTTTTTTTCAACAATTTAAGGTTCTTTGAAGAAATATTAAATTTCATTCTTGTATACTTGCTTTCTTCTTCGCTTCGTTCTGTCTTCCAATGCCCCTATTGCTTTAAGCCTGTGCTGGTCCTTTTTGGATTCCGATTTGAAAAGAAAAACAAATATTTGGCCACAGAATGTGCCCAAGTCGACCCTAATGGTACCATTGTTTCATCCATGTTCCGACAAAGCGAACAGCCCGAATATGCAAAATATGTTCTCATCAAACCACAAAACATGTGGATCCAATTTCAGATCGAATCTAATGAAGATTTATATCAGTAGTGCTGTTTTACGTAAGGATGATCATAAATATTTACTTTGGATATTTTTCTCCGGCTTTCTAGACCAAAATAGATCCGGTTAATTGGAGGTTCGGCTTTTTAATTTTTCATTTTCATATTGCCTTGAACAAACCTCTTGGCTTTTTCCAGTAGTTGCGGATATAATGGAATAATTGTGGTTTTCATCATTAAATTGTTGTATGTTTTGTAGGTAAGTTTTTATTAACAAAACATGTTTAGTTTTTTAAGCAAGAAGTACTCCTCAGTTTACAAGGCACCATTGAAGAGAATTGCTATGCTGTATTCGTAACAGGGTGTTTAACTGAATCGTGGTTACTCAAAATATTTCAAAATTTACAAAATAAGAAGTCTTTTAAGTTTGAACAGAGTTGTCGCTTTATATCATTCACAAAGAGTTACACGCGGTAATGATGAAATAAAGACGCAGACAATGTAAGAAATAAACTGTTCAATAAATGAAACATTACCCTGACAATTTTTTCCTAATTTTGAAACTGAATAAATTCTGATGGTTGGAATTGATTTGATTCTTGTTTGAAGCCTTATCTAGTCAAATTGTTTTTCTTTCAGCACTTTGTTTGCCAAAAATCAGGCACTTTGAACAAAGTTCCAACAGGGTGGAAAATGAAACAATGCAAAATTTCTGAAATTTCGACTTGCTCCCAGTTGAATAAAAAATAAACGTTTTAATTTAGATTTCACCTCCAAATGAGTAAAGATAGCCCTCATATCACAAAACTGTTTTTCAATTTTTTGCCCTTTTTGTTCATTTACAGGGTGGTCCCAAAAATTCAATATACAGTGTTGCAGTAAAAGTGACCCAAATCTGCTCATCAAATCTGGGACTTTGGTAGACTTGGCATAATTTCTATTTTAAGTCGAGTATTAGGTTTTAGCTTCAACGTGAACTCGAAAAATTTTTGGTATCACCCTGTAAATAGACTTGAAAGACAAAAAAGTCTGAAACAGTTTTGCGATGTGCGGTCTATAGCCTTTAGCGTGAAAATAAAAAAAAACGGATTTTTGCTCTATCGGGAGCTTGCAAAACTGTAAAAAAATGTGAATTCTTTTACTTTCCACCTTGTTGAAACTTTATCTAAAGTATTTTTTTTTGCCCCGCTAGGACAGAAAAAGACGTGGACTAGATAATGCTTAAGAAATGAATCGCTCTCAACGATCAGAATTTTATCCAGTCCCAAAGTTATGGCAAATTTGCACGTGTAATTTTTATTCTGTTGAGCAGTTTAGAAGAACCAAATACTAAAGAAAAAACAGGACAAACTAAAATTCCAGGCAAACAATTTAGAGAACTAACTTATCATACAAATGAGCAATTGTAAGTACATGAAATTTTTTAAAAAGCTTTAGATGCTGTTTTAATTACGTTCAATGGCCAATTCTGAGGATATCAAAATGATAATTCTGAAAATGTTTTTTGATTTCTAAAAAATCGCCTAAAAATTGTCATAATTCACAATTTCGTTACGCTGCAAGTTGCAAAAAATAGGGTTAAAAAGATAATAAAATACAAGGTAAGCTACACAGACATATTTCACAATACAAACATATTTCACCGGCACCAAGAATGACTAAATAAGACTATGAAAGTGTTAAAAAATGTTCATAGCTTCTTAGTAGGTAATTACTCAAAAAATTGTTATTTTCTCAACATTGTTGTTGAGTGCTATACTTGAGTGAATATTTCAAATACATAGAAGATATATGCAGACGATCAAAAAACGAAATTTTTTGCTATTTGTGTAAAAATGCACTCTTATGTGGTAGATTAATGATGGGTTCAGTTTTTTTCTTATTTTTACCACAGTTCATTAAAAACCCAACATTTTTGAAGGATTTTTTTTATAGCTCGCTAAAAATCGCTTAGAAAATGCCACCTTGATGTAGAGCTGAAAAATTCGCAAGACATATAATTAAAAATAAGTTACACTGGAAAAAAGGCTTGAAAAGGTTTTGCATAATAATATTTTTTTTCTTGTTTTATATCAGTTTGATTAGATTTATTGCAAGTGTGTTACCCTTCAGTGATTAAAACTGTACACATCAAACAGCTGAAATAGAACTGATCAAGAAAACATTTAAATCTATTAAACTAAATTAAAAGTGTCTTGTTAGCAAACGGGAAATTTGCGCTTGAAACAAGCGTCGAAGGTAAATGACATAATATGCAAATTACATTATATTTTGGTAAGAGCAAGGACAATGAACTATGCGAAAATCAGTTGAATGAAATTAGAATCAATCGCAATTGTTTTCATTTGTCTATTGGCTATTGTTCGCTTATTAGCAGCAACTATTTCTAATGTAAAAGTCGCTTTTGCGTCCCAGAGATTTTCTGTTGAACGGTTGCTTAAAAAAATTTGGCTTCAAAGCGGAATTTGCCAATAAGCACATTTTCCGAAAGTCGCTTCACTTTCGTGCTTAATTAGGTTGATGACGATGTCATTTGTAAAATTGTGTGCTGGGTAGCGTGGTTAGTGACGTCAATCAATAGGACCACCTTGAATTTCCTCGATATTTCATAAGTTGCAGGAATGGCAAAAATGAATTTCCGAATTGCTCCCATGGCTGATCAATAAGTGCCAATTCGAAACGTACGCAAGTACAGCATAGAGTTTGGGATCAGATTAATTCAGCCTTTAAAATAAATCAGTTCGATTTGCTATTAATCAATACAATATTAAGGCAATTTACTGCTGTTGCACTGTCTGATTCAGTCCGGACTGGCATTCTGCCAGATCCTGCTTGGACAATTAATTGGCAGGTTTCGCCTCGAAAGCCCTTCAAACAACTGCTTAGGATCGGTGCGAAAATCGCTTTCATACCAGGAGAATCAATGAATCAAAGTTGTGCCAACTTTAGCTGCAGGCTTATTTTGAGACAGTTAAAGGTTTCGGTCGGTGGTGGGCAAACTAAAGACAACCAGCGGGTCAGGGTGGGAAAAAGCAAAGGGTTTCGCGCCAATCGTTTTTCAAACAAACAGCAACTGGCTGAGCAGAAAAAATGACGGTGAGAATCGGGTGGAAGAGTTTGATAACGAGGTGAGGAGGAGTAGGAGTAGTCGACGAAGTAGGGCAGCAGGAGGAAGGAACGAAGGGTTGGCTGGTGGGTTCGAAGACTTACCGTGGGTCAGGTGCCGGTGGCTGCTGCACAGCAGGAACACCGCGATGAGCGTCCAGGTGAGCAGGGCCATGCTGGGGCGGTCTAGCCGAGAAGGGCGGCGGGCGGCCGAAGGCCCATGGCAGGGCGGCGGCGGGCGGCAAAAGAGGCGGCACGACAACCGCGGCTCAGAGCGCGCGCAAAAGAACAAACAGCGCCGGCAGTCAGAGCGACACTGAAACTGAACCGCCGGCCGGCGCGCTGCCGACGCACCATCGTCGGGGCGCTTTTTCGACGGACGACGCAGGACTGCCGCTAAGGGGGCGGGTCGCAGCGCTAAAATCATCTACCCCTGCATTCATTACGGTCCTGCTGGACTTCTCCCTTTCAAATTGCATACAGAGTGAATCTCTGGATGCCATTAACTTATTTCATCTTTGAATGCTAACCTTCTTTTTATGCATGTTGAAACTACGTAAGGAGTAGTAAGTTTTAGATTTTTCAACAATAATGAAATATGTCTTAATCATTTTTCCTTGTCACTCTACGATTGCGACAAAAAAGTTGCGCAATCAGAAATCAATATACAGGGTGATTCAAAATTGGCGTCATTCCGCTGGCAGTGTTTTAGGAGTACAGAAAAAATAGTAAAATAAATTAATTGTTATTAAAAACTGAGAAATTTGCAAAAAACTATATCAGAAATACGGCAGCAATGTTTTTCAAGGTAATCTGCCTAATTAACATTGCGCAAATACCTGTTGCTCCGTAATTATTTAAAACTCCGGTAACCATGGAATTATACAGATTGACAATAAGATAGACAAGGATAAACGGTAAATTCAACAAGATTTGTTGACAAAATGTCAACCTGTTCTCATAACCTCGAATATGGGTATTTATAAATTAACCCTACAACACCAAACATTTGAATGGTTAACTCCAAACAAGCTAGTGCCTGTGTAATTTCCTTATTATTCACTCTTATCAAGCAGCTTCTCGTATTCAGTTAATT